TCTTTTGCCATTTGGGTTAGTCTATTTTTTAAGGTGTTATTTTCTTCAGTATTTTTTTGGGGGATCTCCTTTAGCAAGCTGTTGACTTGTTTTTCATGATTTTCTTGCATCACTCTCATTCCTCTTCCCAGTTTTTCCTCTACTTCTCTTACTTGCTTCTCAAAATCTTTTTTGAGCTCTTCCATGGCCTGGGACTGATTCATATTTTTCTTGGAGGTTTTGGATGTAGGAGCTTTGACTTTGTTGTCTTCTTCTGGTTGTATGTTTTGATCTTCTTTGTCACCAAAGAAAGATTCTGTGGTCTGACTTTTTTCCCACTATTTGTTCATGTTCCCAGCCAATTACTTGACTATTAAACTCTTTGTTAAGGTAGGGGTCTGCTTCCAGTGTGGAGAATGTACTGTCTCAAGCTTCAGGGGTTTTGTGTAGCTGTTTTCAGAGATACTTCTAGGGATTTATACATTTTCAGTTCTTCCAATATGGTCTGATCAAAGGTGAGGTGTGTACTCTTCCTGGCCTGTACTTTGGTCTATGAGTGACTACAAGCACTCTTTTCTGCCTTGGAACTGTGAGGAAGATTCCCTCTTCACTGCCGCCATAAGCTCCACCATGCCAGTGCTCCTCCTTGCCTCAGGAATGCCACCTACAACTGGGACCCAGATCCAAGCACAGGCAAAGCAAGAGAATCCTGCCTCAGCACCAGCAAAGAGATTCCTGCAATCCCCCTCTGATCAGCTGCTCGATCCCCTCTCTCTGTTGGCCAAGAGCTCTGGAAGCAGCCACCACCCCAGGACTGCACCTGGATGGGGGCCAGACCAAGCTCCTCTCTCACCAAGGTCTGATAGACCTTTCCTACTGATCTTCTAAGTTGTCTTTGGCATTTGTAGGTTGAGAAGTCTGGAAACCACCACAACGACCCTTGATTCAGTCCCCTGAGGCGTGCCCCAAGTTCGCTGAGGCCTGGTCCTTGCCTACGCAGCCCATGCTGAGTTGTGTTCCTCTTTCATCCTGTACAACAGACCTTTCCCATCAACCATCCAGGTTGTCTTGGGCTGGAAATTTGTTTCACTCTGTCTTTTTGTGGGTTCTGCTGCTCTAGAATTTGTTTAGAGCCATTTTTTACAGGTATTTGGAGGGTTTTGGGGGAGAGCTCAAGTAAGTCACTGCTTTTACTCCGCCATCTTGGCTCCACCCCCCTACATTTTGCAAATTTTAAAGCACATTATAAATACTAGTTATTATTTTCATGATAAAAATCTTTCTAGATCATTTTCATTTTTTGTCTATCATCCTGTCTGCTTAATTTTCTTTTGATGACTTTGCTTAGCTGGGTCTCTTACCAAGCTTTCTTTAAACTGGCTTTCTCCTCCACTGCATCTCTCTGTCTTATAGAAAATACTGCTTTTAATCTTCTACCATCCTCCTCTATGAGATTTTACAAAGGAGTTTATATTCTAAACTTGTGTTATTCTTACCTGCAATATGGCAAGTATGACAAACACTTGACTAAATGTTTGCTGACTAAGGTGCTTTTCAGGTTCTGTGTATCTCCTCATTACATCAATTGCTTTGCATTGGTTGAACTTCTGTATGAAATTTTTGTATTGTTTGCTGTTTCCTTTGTTTATATCCCATTTTTTAATGTCAGTAATTTTTTTTTAATGTCAAGTTGGGTTTTTTTAACTGAATACTGTAAAAATAAGAACATTTTTATTCTTCTAGCTTTGCATTAATTTTGATCCTTGCTTTAACAAGTCAGTGATCTGACTATATAGAGACTACTGATGCAAGAATGCCTTTCATATCAATAATGCCATTTCCTGATTGTCAGATATATTTAGTTTCATATTTTGTGATTTTATTGAGTGCTTATCATATTATATGTCTACTGAATCTTTTTTTGAATAAAATATTAATAGTGTATATGTGTGGGACTTCTATGTAGTCCACAAGTGTTTGGCAGCTCTCTTTCTTTTTATTGACCCATAGCTAGATAGTCAGTGAGAGAGGCTGTTGAAATTGGTGTTACATTTCTCCCCATTGTAAAAAAAAATTCAATCCCTTGAAAAATAATTGGGGGGGTACTTTATACCAAATCTATGTTTATGTTTTGTACTATATAAAAATATTTTCATTACATATTTTATAACATTATTATATTGTACATTATAATTTATTATATATTTATGTTAGATACTATATATAAATCTATTTTTTATAATGCAAAGCACCAATAGATAGGCAACTTTAATGATAAAAATACAATATTGTAATAGTAATAATACTTAAATATTCTAACAGTGAATAATCAGTAACACTGATGGTAATACATAAATGCAAAACGCTGAATATACATATCAAATAGTACAAAGCAACATTTCCTATCATTCAGCAATGTTGACATCTAGCTGAATGGGTAACTACTCTTTCTGCTACATTATTATTTAGCCTGTTTATAGATTGGTTGTTTCTAATTCTTTAATGATCCATTGATCTTTCTACATCTGTATCTAAGTTGCTTGACAGCATAGGCTCTCGACTATTATTTCTAAATTTGATGATATATCTCTTTACTCTAAAGGACTTTATAAATTAGGTTTTTGGCAGTAAGTGTCCTGCCTCTGGCTCTTCCCTTTCCCCTCCCCTCTCCAATCCTTGTCTGAACTGGGATCTTCCCCAGTTCTATGCAAAATTATCAGGATTTTATATAATGATGTTTGCTTTATTCTGTGGAGCACCTTTGTTAGGAATTCTTCCCTGCTGCTACACCTTCCAAACTGGACCACCAGAGGCCATGCCTGAAAGGAATGAAGCAATTTGGCTTAGCATTCCTTGGGACCTTGTGTCCTTATTTTCACATGGTTATAGTCCACTCTGTATACCATTTCCCTCCCCCAGGGAAATATAACAAAATACCACTACTATTGTCTCTTTAAAAGAGTATGTTAATGGATTACTCCCCATCTTTGAGACTTACTAGGCCATAATTCCCTCCCCTCGAGATCACTTCCATATACATATACATATACATACACATACACATATACATATACATATACATATACATATACATATACATATATATAGACATAGACATAAAGACATATACATGTACACGTACACCTGCACACACACACACACACACACACACACACACACACACACACAGTCTCATTAGAATATAAGCTCCCAAAGGGCAGGGACTATCTCTCTTGTATTTGTATCCTCAGCCTTCTACATAGTGCTTGGAACATAGTGAGTGGTTAATAAATGTTTTTCACTCATTCTGTAGTGACTCGGAAGCAAGCTGGGCTTCAATGTTCTTAAGCCACCATTTCATGTAGCATTTTACTTTTGAGCTTCTTTTAACAAATGTCTTTTGTATTAAGGTGGAACTTTGTTTCAGTTTCTAAACATTTCTTTTATATACTTATGAATATCTAGAATTCTTGTAAATGTGTGTCTTTGTGCTACTTTACTTTTCAATTTTTTTTAACTAAGATTTCATGTTTAAGCATTTCTGTTTATCAATTTCTCCAGTATTTTAACACCAAAGTGTTGGATCCTGTCAGTGCACCTGGCATTTTTGCATGATAGATTGGGAGATTTAATTCATGGATTACTGCTTGGTCGTTCTAGCCCTTACCTTTCTATGAATTACCCGGTCCTTTGGCTTTTCTTTTGAATATTCATATAATATGTTTATTTTTATTCTCTGAGTCTATTCCTAAAATCAGAAAACCTCTATGAATTTTCAGTTCAAAATATCATAATACTTATTAAGCCTATCAATCTCCATGTTTAAAATAGTGATAATGTAAAATTTACAGGTATCAAACTAATAATGCTAAATTTTTATTTAGGTAGGGTAGGGGCACAGTAGATAGAGCAGTGGGCCTGGAGTCAAGAAGACCTAAATTCAAATGTGGCTTTGCATAGTTATTAGCGGTGTGACCTTGGGCCAAGTCAGTTAATCTTTGTTGTCTGCTTAATTTTCCTCATCTGTAAAATGGAGATAATAATAGCACCTACCTTTCAGGGGACTTATGAGGATCAAAGAAATAGCATCTATAAAGCATTCTACAAAATCTTAAAGTGATATATATAGCTATAAATGCTAGCTATTATTATTACTATTAAACATATATTTTATATAGTAATAAACAATTAAATGACAGTTACAGGTAATTAATTGTAGCAAATAAAACAGTAAAACAGGTGTTATTATCAGCAACACTGTCAATTACTTTGTATTTATGATTCTATGAGAAAATGCCTATGAGAAAGGAAAAAAAAATATTACTTAAAAATTCCCACTCTAAGTAAGGAGGTAAAAAATTTTGTGACTGGTGTTAACATTTTCCTTTTTACAAAATATTTGGACTAAATGATCTTTAATCTGCCAAACAGCTCCAAGTTTTAATCAATTAAGGGATCTTAGAAGTGATTCCCTTTGGCCTTTAGAGATCCCCAGAGCCTGAAACCCATATGGGACATTTTGAGGACATTTATGGGGATAAAGGCCACCTGTTGTTGGAGGAAAACTCAGCTCTAGTGTCTCCTTAGATGAGCTTGTAGGAAGTAGGAAAGAGGACTGATAGACTTAGGGGACTGGGGCTGCGGTACTTGAGGGACTGGGAAACTGAGGGAGTAAGATCCTCTGGTTCCTCTATATCTTTGTGCTACAGATCAAGCTGAATCACTGAGGGGTCCCTGGGGTATAGAGGAAGACTAAGGCTGTGGGACATGACCTCGGGATAAATAGAGGATTGAATGCTGAAAAAATATTAGTGATGGAAGAAGACCCATGGTTGGTGAGCCTGCTCTGTTGACCATTCATTTGGAGGAAGGGGTTACCTTAACCTAAGTCTCTGGTTCCTGAGTGAGGGGGAGGGTCTGGATAAGGGTTAGGATCAGAGATTACCTTCTCCCTAAGGCAGTTTGGTGTAGCTAAGACCATGTTCTGATGCCATCACCATATTTCTTCTGGTTTTCCTCAGGTGGTGTGTTTGGGCCCAGATCGAGGTCCAGGTGTGTGAAGGGTCCCAAGGAGTGGATGCCAGACAGGTGGAAGCCCATAGAGAAGCTCCAGAGTGTAGTTGTGGTCCCACCCAGGCCTCACCTTATTCTCATCCCCAGATGTTGGAAGGTTTCCCTTTAACAAGAAGCCACAGTGTTGCACCCCCATTCCTGAAGAAGAGGTCTCCCATCCTCTGTGGTGTGAAGGAATTTTCTCCATGTGGACTGAATGAAGGCCCTAGATCCAACTTCATTTGGAGCATGCTTGGAGTGTATCGAGTGCTGAAGAAGTCCCTTATCTCTGGCTTACCTCAGGTTCTTTGTGAATAGGGGGCTGACCACAGGTCCTAGGGCCTCAGGGTAAGACTTCAAACTCTTGAGATATAGAAACCTGACTTCAAGCTCCAGAAGGGACTTGGTGGGTTGACTTCAGGTTTCAGGGGCTTAGAGAGACAACTTCGGACCCTAGACCTTTGGCCCTCAAATGTGAGGTTCTTGGAGGAGGGGAGGGAGGCCAAGAGGCAGCTAAGGCTCACCATGGTTCTTCCACCACCAGACAAGCGCCACGTGTGCCTGACCACAGTGGTCATCATGAGTAGCATGGCCTTCATGGATGCCTACCTTGTGGAGCAGAGCCAGGGCCCACGGAAGATTGGCGTGTGTATCATCGTGTTGGTGGGTGATGTGTGCTTCTTGCTTGTCCTGCGGTATGTGGCCGTGTGGGTTGGGGCTGAGGTGCGCACTGCAAAGCGTGGCTATGCCATGATCCTCTGGTTCCTCTATATCTTTGTGCTACAGATCAAGCTTTACTTCATTTTCCAGAACTACAAGGCTGCCCGGCGTGGTGCCGCTGATCCGGTTGCACGCAAGGCGCTGACACTCCTATTGTCCGTGTGTGTGCCAGGACTCTTCCTGCTGCTTGTGGCCCTGGACAGCATGGAGTATGTGCGCACTTTCCGCAAAAAGGAGGATCTGCGTGGCCGCCTCTTCTGGGTGGCCTTGGATCTGCTTGACCTGCTGGACATTCAGGCAAACCTTTGGGAGCCTCCACGCACAGGGCTGCCTCTCTGGGCTGAGGGCCTTATGTTTTTTTACTGCTACATGTTGCTGCTTATCCTGCCCTGTGTGTCACTCAGTGAGATCAGCATGCAGGGTGAGCATATTTCCCCTCAGAAGATGATGCTCTACCCTGTGCTCAGCCTGGTCACTGTCAATGTGGTCACTGTCCTAGTGCGTGCTGCCAATATGGTGCTCTTCCATGACAGTCGAGTCTCTACTATCTTCATTGGCAAGAATGTGGTAGCATTGGCTACTAAAACCTGTACCTTCTTGGAGTACCGGCGCCAGGTTCGCGACTTCCCACCCCCTCATGGAGCACTTGCCCTTGAATTGCAACCACCTCAACCCCCCCCACCCCAATTGCTGCACAACTCAGTGCCTCATGCACCACCCATTCACAGTGGCCCTGGTGCCCCCCATGGGCCTTCCCCTACTCGGGACACACTGGACACGTGACAGGTACTGCCTACCGTGGCCCCTGCTCATGTGGATGAAGCTTGGGCACATGAATCTATGGAGGGACTGGTGGGTGGGCAAGGAGCACATGTGGTTTGCATGGGATAGCAGGGCCAGAGCCAGAATGGGAGGAGCTCCCACCTTCCTTACAATCAGGCTCAGCCTGGGATCCTCGAAGCCTCTTCATCTCAGGAAAAATCTGGGGTGTCCCTGAAAACCAAATGGATCCTCCAATCCTTGGACCACCCTCCCTGGGCCAGAGAATTTCCCAGGGCATTTTGAGGACTGTCAGGGCTACTTAATCCAGGCCAGGCTAATTGAGTTGTAGCCCTGGGAATGAATCCTCCTTTTATTGGATAGAGAGGGCAAAGGGAGGATGAGTGTTTCCCATGTTCCCTGAATTTAGGCCTGTGGATCTGTCATTTTAAAGACTCCTTTACAATTTTCTATTCCAAGACTGGGCTTTCAGAGTCAATATTCAATAATTTTAGGCCCCAGGGTACTTTTGGGATTCAGAGATTGGCTCATAGTATATGAGATGCATGTGACAGATTGGCTCTATGGGCTGGCGGCTGGTGGCTCTATGGGGGTGATAAAGACGCAGCTTCCTATTTCTCTGTCTTTAGGATTTCCTAATCTGTCTATTCTGGGTCACTAGCACTTTCCCTGGGAGATGTTTGCATCTTATTGAGACATCACCTATATATTCCAGACACATCCCATCTCAAAGGCCCTCAGCATATAGGTTACCCATCTGTCCCAGACCTTTCCTGAATTCATCCACAAATATAAAAGTTTCGTGGTCCCTGAATCCAGCTTTTCTCTTGTCTAGTCACTAGGATGCTATTTTTCATTCCTGTTCCTACCTCTGACCTGTTTGAAGAGCTCTGATCCAGGAATTTCAGAACAGGGTACTTTAATAGTCTCCTTCCCTCTGGGAAGCTGTTGAGTGACTACTGAGCATTTGGCCCCAGAGAAAATAGCCTGAGACTGAAATCTGATCCCATCCCAGACAGAACCCCAATTTTGGTTATTGACTGAGTTTATTTGCTCTAGAGTGACCCAGACTCCAAATTGAGCAACTTAGGCTTATCTTCTCTGTACTGGTTTCGATACTGAATCCAGGGATGTCTTTTCTCCCCTATGTGGACACATGAGAGTAAGAGTCTAACACTGCAGACCTCTAGTCTTGGGAAAGTCCAGTGGAATTCCTGATGTTTGCAGGAAGGATGGGTGGGTATCTATGTTCATGTCTTGTCCCTTTCTTTTCCGCATTTCCCTTTCCCTTTAAATTGAAGATGCATGGGTCTCATGGACTGTAATGAGATGGAATAATCAGAACAAGTGCTCACCTTGGACAGAGTTTAGGAGCCCCATTTTAATGCCAGGCTCTCTCCTCTGGACATTCCGTGCTGGAGGTTTGGGGTTTGCTTGGGTTTCTCTTCCTATTCTCTGAGATTTGTGAACATTGCCCCAAAGAAGAATGTGTGTGTGTATGTGTGTGTGTGTGTGTGTGTGTGTGTGTGTGAGAGAGAGAGAAAGAGAGAGAGAGAGACCCTTAGAGTTGGAAGATTATCTAGTTAAACCCAAATAGCACCCCTTATATACATACATACATTATGTATATATATACCAGACAAGTGGTCATGCAGACTTTTGCTTGAAGACTTCCAGCATTGGGAGTTACTACTATTTCATTTGTGCATATTTTGGATTGTTAGGACATTTTTCTTTATGTGGAACCTAAATCTCTCTCCCTCTCTCTCTCTCTCTCTCTCTCTTCTCTTATATCTGCCTTCTGGAGCCAAGTAGAACAAATCTAATCTGTTTTCCACATGATGAGCCATTCAGATACTTGTAAACAGCTAGCCTGCCCCATTTCTCACCCCTCCCTCACCAGTCTTCTGAAGTAAACTTTCCCAGTTTCTTCAACTGATCCTTGGTGCCCAGTCCCCTCACCATCCTAGTCACTCTCTTCTGAATCCACTCTAATTTATCAATGTACTTTTTAAAATATGGCACCTAGAACTAAACAGAATACTCCAGATGTTGTCTGACCAGAAAAGAGGGTAGTATCTATCATCTCCCTCCTTCTGGATAATGGATCAGTGCTCTGAGATTACCGTTTCCCACATAGAAGAAAGGCCCCTGCCTTTCTAGGATCTGACAGTCCAGAGTAGAGATGGCCTATACTCTCCTGATCCCCCAGTAAACTAGGAAAGCTCCTGGAATTTTTTCCAATTCCCTATGTCCTTTCACAGGCCCCTGTTTTGTCCAGAAACCCCGAGAGTCTTCCCCTCCCAGATTGATTTTATTTTTTGACTAGGTAAAATAGGCCATTCTTTGCCTCATTTTTACCTAGCCTTAATCACTGAATGTGTGTTGCCTTAAACAAACTGAGACCTGGGAAAGATTTTAGCTCAAAAAGTCCAAGGCCTCCCATTGCATCCAGGGCCATCTCTAGTTATCATGATCTGTAACTTGCCACTGGATCCAGATGGTACTGGAGGAGAGTGTGAGGCTGGTGACTTTGCACAGCCCTCCCTCACTTAAATCCATTTATTTACAAGTCATGACATCTCCTTCCTGATGTCATGGTCCTTTTTGAGAACAAAGGACAAACAACAACCACAGGCCCCTGACTTCCTCAGTTTGTGGCTCCCGCCCTGCAGAGATGTGATTGCAGTCAGAAGACGCAGTTATGTCTCAGGGTAGGCACCAGAGGGCATACTTTCCTTTGGTTAGAGAGGATCCAGAACTTATTTAAGCGAGGTTTTGCTTTTTTGGGCTCCATTTCCTTTCTGTAAGCAGTCTCATTGGACAGTATCTTCAGGGCACAATCTACATGGATGCTTGAGTAGTCAATGAGAGATCACAGTCTGAAGTTGGGGAGGGACTTGGTACCTGAACCCTCGATATGAAAAACCTGGCATAGCGGAAAGAATGTTAGGTTTGGAGTCACAGGGGTTCTAATCAATCAATCAAAAAGTATTCATAAAGCACCTACTATTCACCCAGTCACTGAGCTAGTATTGGCTCTATGGATTCTCATCTCTGAAATAAGGAAATTTTTATCAAATAATCCATAAGGTGCCTAAGTTCTATCCTAGGTGTCTTCCAAATCTATCACCTCACACTGGCTGCCAGTTGACTCATTTTTACTTTATCTTACCCTCTAACCATCTGTGTCTCACCCCAAGCCTTAGATGGAAGATGGAGATGTCTCAAGAACTTACCATCCAGGCCACTTGTGAAGTGTGAAACACTCTGCCCTTCTAGGCTTGTGGGCCTACTTACCAACCTCCCCTTCTCCCAGTCCTTGGAGACAGCTCTCAAACAAGTTCCCTCTGTACCTTACTCCCCTTCCAGGTCCCTGTCTCCGCCCAGACTAACTCTCCCAGACCCCAGATAGGAAGGACTAAAAACAAAATTTTAAGGCAATTGAAGGGAAAATCCATTAAGTCCAATAAAACCCCAACACCCTGGAAGTTCTATCCTGCCATTCAACTTTCTTTACCTTGTCTTGGGGTAGAAGGTGGCTCTGGACCAGGAAAAAGTCGTCTTTTGTCTCAGAGGCCTGGAATGCGTTCCCTCTTTCCTCAATGCTAAATCCTGACCAGAAGAGCTCACAGGAAACCATGAAATTAGTTAACCACACGGGGGCAGCAGAGATGCAGAAATACTCATAGGACTATAGCGTTTAAAGCTGAACAGGATCTCGGAAATGATTAAACCTGACCTCCTCACTTTACAGATGAGGAGAATGAGGTTGGAAGTGACTTACTCAAGATCATATAGCAAGTATCAGAGCTGGAACTTGAACTCAGGTCTTCTGACTCCAAATCCAGTACATTTTCTACTTCAGTATGTTATATCTGTGAAACACACCCATCTCCCTACCAGTGGTTGCTTCTCCCCAGAGAAGACTCCCAGATGCCCTACAACAAACCCATGATTGCACTATTCTTTGGGATGATCAAGGCTAATTAATGCCCTCTTTTCCTACAGGGAGTATCTCCTTCTTGGGCCCTTATAACTGGAGTATCAAAGTCAAGGGCATTGGGGGGAAACTTCTCTAGGCCCTAATCCACTCCTTTGGCTAAGCCTAAGCTGTAGATAGGGTGTTCATCACAGAGCCCTGGGAGCAGAGTCATAACTAGGAATTCTGGGAAATGGGGGGAAGACATGGAGACAGACCTCTAAACTCGTCAAGAGAAATCTTGAGACATCACTTAGGACACCATTGCTGGGGAGGCTAGTGGTGGAGGGAGTACAAGGGTAGAACAGGTTGGGGAAAGTTCCCTTAGGGTGTAGGCAGGCCTCAGGATCCCCACCTCATTCAGCAGCCCTCAATATCACTGTAACCCTGTGAAACACAAGCCTCATGTCATAGGTAGAAGATAGTTTGCTCCTGTTAAATGCTCTTATACTTGGAAATAATCCCCAATCTCCTAGTTACCAAAAATAAGCATAGGAGGGAGGTGACTGCTGAAAAAGGGGTGCCATGGTGATGGGACCCTGGAGGTAGTGGCCTCAGGCTGTACAAGAGAGCAGAGGCAATCCCATAGCACAGTGCTGGTAAAAAGATCATGAGGAAAGTGAATAGTGGGATGTAGGACTCATTAAGGGGTGGAAGCATGCCTAGCTGGGAGCCAGTCCCCTGAGGCAAAACTCTTGTCTCCTTGCCTTATAGCACTGGCTAGAAGGTAAAGATCACTAGGTCTTTGGTTAATGAGACCCTGAAGTTTTGCTGGACAGAAAATTGAGGCCCAGAGATAGATAATACCTCTTATAATAGTGAAAAGCATTAGTAGCTGGATCCATTGCTGACCCCCATATGCCCAGTCCATATGGGGAAATGGGAGGTGAGCCTCCTGCAGTGAGTGGGGAATTCACACCATGGAGCTTCACACAAGTGAAGGTTTTGGGTCTTAACCCCTAGCAGAAACTCACTTCCAGCACACCGTCATTCTTCAACTCAACACATTTTAAACCCCAGC